TGTTTTTTTATTGAAATAATGAGTATTATATTTTATACTATTTTTTTGTGTTCATACATGGTTTATCTACAAAATAAAGGCTATTCCAAAAATTAGGAAACATCCCCATTGCGGATGTCTATAGGCATTGGATGTTTCAGAATCAAGGTGCTTGTTCGTTAGCCACTTTAGAGTGTAGAAAAAAATCTTTTTTATTACAAGTGTCACATGAAATAAATCTTTTAGCTGACTATATCAGATCGAGCCCATCTTCTGAATGATGTATTCGCTATGGCGGAGGCTCGCTTGTTGCCTTACGACTTAGCTTTGAACCTGACCACTTACCTCAGAGAGGAGAGAGACTACGTGCCCTGGGATACCGCTTCCTCTGTATTTTCACAATTATCTTCTCGGCTACGTAACACGGAGATATATGATGATTTGCAGGTAAAGTTACTTAACAAACATATCTGCACTTTTAGTTTTTATGTTTATAGCGTTTATTTTTTTTAGAAATATGTTCAATCTTTGGTGGAGCCAGTATATCGTGAGCAGTCATGGACGAAAAGTAATTTCAGTGTTATAGAAGGGTTAGTTAAATTTAGTTTTTTTTTTAATTAGTCGAATCCTTTGTTACGTATATTTTAGAAATTTTTATAGGTAATGGTACATTTTTTTTACTTTTCCAGCCTGTTACGTACAAGAATATTGTCTTTGGCGACTGGTTTTAGTCTACCTGATGCTGAAGATAGAGTCAGAAGTCTGTTCTTAAGAAGTTTGAACAGCCACGGGACACCTGATGCGGTCCTCATCGACCCCGATCTAAGAGACTTTGTTTATTATTACGGTATTTAACATTTAAATCTGTACTTATACTGTAAAAAGGGAAAATTTGTATTTTTGTATTCATTAAAATTACTCAAAAACTACTGGGCCGATTTCAACAATTGTTTCGCCATTAAAAAGCTACTTTATCAGTGAGTAATATAGGCTATTTTTTAATTTAACGCAGGCGGAGTCGTGAGCAACAGCTAGTTCAAACTAAAGTTATATAAAAGCACATTTAATATTTTTTTTGTCAGGTATGAGATCAGCTACACAGTCTGATTGGGATAAATTGTGGCAAATTTATTTAAAAGAAGACGATGTTCAAGAGCTTGCC